GGGAGGGGCGTGGCCCCTTTGGGGACAGCGCGGGGACACGGAGGGACCCGAGGGGACGCGAAAGGACCCGAAGGGACCCGGAAAGAGCCGAAGGGGCGCGAAAAAAACCGAAAAAAAGCTCGAAAAAAACCGAAGGGACACGAAAAATACCGAAAAAAACCGAAAAAACCACGAGGAAAGACGAAAGGACCCGAGGGGACCCGAAAGGACCCGAGGGGGCCCGAAGGGACACGAAGGGATCCGAAAGGACCCGGAAAAACCCGGGAAAACCCGGAAAAACCCGAAAGAACCCGAGAGGACCCGAAGTGACCTCAAGGGACACGAAAAAAACCGAACAGACCCGAAAAAACCTCGAGAGGACCCGAAAAAACCCGAAGGGACCCGAGTAGGACACGAAAAGACCCGAAGTGACCTCAAGGGACACGAAAAAATCCGAAAAGACCCGAAAAAAAACGAAAGGACCCGAAAAATCCCGAAAAGACCCGACAAGACCCGAAGTGACCTCAAGAGATACGAGGGGACCCGAAAAGACCCGAAAAAACACGAAAGGACCCGGAAAAACCCGAAAAAACCCGAAAAAAACCGACAAGACCCGACAAGACCGAAGTGACCTCAAGGGATACGAAAAAAAAACCCGAAAAGACCCGAAAAAATCCGAAAAGACCCGGAAAAACCCGAAAAAAACCGAAGGGACCCGAAAGGACCCGAAGTGACCTCGAGGGACACGAAAAAACCCGAAAGGACACGAAAATAAACGAAAAATTCCGAAGGGACCCGAAGTGACCTCAAGGGACCCGAAAAGACCCGAAAGAATCCGGAAAAAAACGAAAAATTCCGAAGGGACCCGAAAGGACCCGAAGTGACCCCAAGGGACACGAAAAAACCCGAAAGAATCCGGAAAAAACCGAAAAAGCCCGAAGGGACCCGAAAGGACCCGAAGTGACCTCAAGGGACACGAAAGGAGCCGGAAAACCCCGAAAAGAGCCGTAAAAAGCCGAAAGGAGCCGAAGGGGAGCCGAGGGGACACGAGGGGACATCGGAGGCGGTGCCACCACGAGCGACGAAGGACCCGGGGTGGCCCCACCCCCNGGCCCAGTTTGTCCCAGTTTGACCCAGTTTGTCCCAGTCCCGAAGTTGTCCTGGTCCCAGTTTGACCCAGTTTGGCCCAGTTTAGCCCAGTTTAGCCCAGTCCCGGTGTTCCTCGGTCCCGTTTGTCCCAGTTTGTCCCAGTTTGGCCCAGTTTAGCCCAGTCTCAAACTTGTCCCGGTCCCAGTTTGACCCAGTTTGACCCAGTCCCAGTGTCACCCTGTCCCAGTTTAGCCCAGTTTGACCCAGTTTGACCCAGTCTGGCCCAGTTTAGCCAAAGTTGTCCCGGTCCCAGTTTGACCCAGTTTGACCCAGTTTAGCCCAGTCCCGAAGTTGTCCCGGTCCCAGTTTGTCCCAGTTTAGCCAAGTTGCGAAGTTGTCAAGGTCCCAGTTTAGCCCAGTTTAGCCCAGTCCCGAAGTTGTCCCGGTCCCAGTTTGACCCAGTTTGACCCAGTTTAGCCCAGTCCCGAAGTTGTCCCAGTCCCAGTTTGACCCAGTCCCGGTGTCACCCAATCCCAGTTTGACCCAGTTTGGCCCAGTTTAGCCCAGTCCCGAGGTTGTCCCAGTCCCGGTGTCACCCCAGTCCTGGTGTCACACGGTCCCCGTTTGTCCCAGTTTGACCCAGTTTGGCCCAGTTTAGCCCAGTCCCGAGGTTGACCCAGTCCCGGTGTCACCCCAGCCCAGTTTGTCCCAGTCCTGGTGTCACACGGTCCCAGTTTGACCCAGTTTAGCCCAGTCCTGGTGTTATTCGGTCCCAGTTTGTCCCAGTTAAGCACAGTTTAACCCAGTCCCGAAATTGTCCCGGTCCCAGTTTGACCCAGTTTGGCCCAGTTTAGCCAAGTCCCGAAGTTGTCCCGGTCCCAGTTAAGCCCAGTTTAGCCCAGTCCCGAAGCTGTCCCGGTCCCAGTTTGACCCAGTTTGGCCCAGTCCCAGTGTCACCTCATCCGAGTTTGTCCCAGTCCCAGGTTTACCCAGTTTGACCCAGTTTGGCCCAGTTTAGCCCAGTCCCAAAGTTGTCCTGGTCCCAGTTTGTCCCAGTCCTGGTGTCACCCGGTCCCAGTTTGACCCAGTTTGACCCAGTTTATCCCAGTTTGACCCAGTCCCGGTATCACTCGCTCCCAGTTTAGCCCAGTTTGTCCCAGTTTGACCCGGTCCCGGTGTCGCCCTGGTCCAGTTTGACCCAGTTTAGCCCAGTCCTGGTGTTATTCGGTCCCAGTTTGTCCCAGTTAAGCACAGTTTAACCCAGTCCCAGTTTGACCCAGTGTGACCCAGTTTAGCCCAGTCCCAAAGTTGTCCTGGTCCCAGTTTGGCCCAGTCCTGGTGTGACCCTGTTCCCAGTTTGGCCCAGTT